GCTTCAGGTCTCATGATGCAAAATAAAACTTAGTAACTATCCACAAGTACAGCAGAATATTTTCTTCTCAGATTTAATAACCAGATGTGCACTATATCTGGAAAATCATTAGTTGCATCAAAACAGCTATGTAAACCACTAGCATATATTCTCAGTAGGTTTTCCTTAGCGTATGGAATAATATTAATGTTTAAGCTGTTCCTTACAGTCCCTGTCATTCCTGAAATTTCCCTCTAGCTAAAAAATAATAATGCTGCTGAACACAGAGGAAAGCTCTGCAGCTGCAGCCTGCAGTCGCCTTTCCCAGCTGATAAAGAGGTTCCTGCATGCTCCTTGTCATGCTCAAGATTTTCCCCTAGTCCCCACCACCACCCCCCAGTTTAGATGTTATCTTGAGATGTCTGGGGCTAAGATGCTGTCCAGCACCAGCACATTTAAACACGGGAAGGACCCTGTGAGCTCTCCCCAGGAGCAATGAATTAGGCTCATCTTCAGCCGTGGAATAAGGAGTTTCCTGCAGCTCTTCTGGCCCTACACTGGAGGGTTTGGCCAACCTCTTCCTGAAGTCAGGTAAGCCAGCATCTACACTTAAAGACATTTCTCCTCAAACTTCACATTTTTCAAAATCAAGGAGCTAAAATAAGTATTTACTACCACTGCATTAAAATTTGGGGTTTTTTTTCCCTCACAAGTACTGAAGATGAGGGTCTGCTGAGCCACTTTATTAACACCATGTGCCTCACTTGGAAATTACCTGGCTTTTAAAAATTTCATTTTTAATCTATGCCGCCAGTAAGAAATGGCAGAAAGGTCGCACCCTGGCAGCCACCCAAATAGTATTACTAGTCTTGTAGCAAAGCTACAAAAGAGCTACATCTTACATTAAGCCAACAGTGTTCAGAATAGGGTGTTTAGGGGCTTTTTGTTGCAAAAAGTTGTGGGAAGGAGTGACCATAAATTTGGTTACAGTTTCCACCATTATTTATAGGTGGGGTTGTTTGCTTTTTTGTTTGCTTGCTGTTTTTTTTTTTTTTCCTTTTTGATGAGACGGGAGAGGGTAACACTCACTCTACCTGCCCATTAAACTCACAGTAAATGATACTGTGTGAGATTTCATTTAGTTAGGCAGAAGACGTAGCTGTGAATTCGATCTCACGGATTTTGTCGCTGATGGAAACTCATACAAAACCTGTAGCAGGAAAAGGTTTAGAGCGTCCGGCCAAAGAGCGTGAGAAAACGAGGAGCAGAGGGTCTGAGGTGTTTTGCTGCTGCGGCAGTTGGCCTTTTGGGAGCCCGGGTACACCGAAGATGAAATTCAGTAGCTCAGCAGCCGCAGGTGCAGCTGGACAAACCCAGCCTGGGCTGGCACCGCCAATGCTCAAACACCCGCAGGCACTCAGAGCACACAGTTTAAAAGAGCTAAAAAGAAAAATCTTTTAATTTACTGTCAAGTTCTCCAGCTGCTAAGAGTAGGTTGGCCACAGGCTGGATCAGTGCAATGAACTGACCCAAGTGAGTACAAGTGACAAGCAAAACACTGTCACGGCAATTCAAGACAAGGGCGAGGCATGAGCTCTGGCAGAGGTGGGACGAGGGGGTGGGGAGGGTCTGTCCAGCAGACACTGTGCTGCCTTACAAGAGCCAATGCCAGCCTCATGGAGGTACTGGTCCTCCCTAGGAGGGTGTTGGCAGGTGTTTTTGACTCCCCTCAAACAACTTGCACCTCCTCATATGCATGTCCCATTCCCCAGACAGCAGTCAAGTGCCGTTCCTGGCTTCTAGCTGTTGAATGAAAAGATCATTGTGCTCCTGCTTCTTCCTGGGGAGGACAAAACCAGGCAAGCCAACGCCTTATCTTTTTCCTCCTTGTCACCAGCTAGCCAGCCTTTCCCGGTGAAACCCAGTGCTGTGAGGTGCTTCCCCTGACAGGGTGTCCCTCCTGCAGTCCTGCTCTGCAGCTGCCTTACCCCAGCCCATCAACCCCCCAGGAGCCAGTGTCCTGCTGGTGCTGCCTCAGCCCCATAGCTCCTCCCAGAGCAGAGAAGGGCTCCATTGGCTCAGCTGTCCCAAAAAGTCCTGCACATCTGGCTGGGTTGCCAGAGGCAACCAAGCCAGGAGGAGAATTAAAGCCAGGCTGGAGCATTGCCCTGTTTCCTCACCTTCCCCAGGTGGCCTGGCCCCCATTTATCCATTTATGGGGAATTTATTTTTCCATTTATCAGGAAAAACTAGTAAGAAATACAGTGTGATTTAGTGCCTGTCCCTGGAGGGCTCAGGGTCCTGGTGCTTCTCTCAGATTCACAGCCGGCACTCCAGAGTAAAGCTTTGTCTTCTCCCTGCAAAGGTTTCTTGTAATTTCTCTCCAGGTGTAAATGCTCCTTTTTTCTTGATTCAGAGCAGGAACCTCAAAGAGGTTCTAAAAAAATTATTCTGCAATTCAGATGCTCAAAATGTTTCTCACTGGTGTTTAAACTTAGTGGATCCCAGAGATAAAACTTAGTGGTTCCCAGCGACAAGGCGTGATTTGGTGGGTCAGGTACTAAGCAGGACAGGTGAAAGAATCGAGGGCTTGTCTGTGCTTCACAGCTCATTAAATTACTTATGCAGATGGGAACAGATACAGCTGCTGAGATCCCAGAAAAATCCACCCCAGGAAAGTGTGGGTATCACTCTGCCTCCAGCCCTGAGCCCTGTCCTTTGTTAAGTGGTATCACTTACCTGCTTTTGGACACTTTGCTGCAGGTTTAGTACCACCCCAGGGCTCCACTCCCTGCATGGCATGTGGGGAAGCTCCCTGGGAACCCCCTGAAATGAGCTCCTGAACTCAGCCATCTCAGGCTCAGCAACAAACACAACCAACCCACCTTCCAGGGGACGGCTCTTGTCGCTTGGTTTTGGGGGACAGGTCTGACCGTGAGCTCTGAACACACCTCCAAGTCCTGAAGACACTGTAAGCAAAGCTGCACCCTCCGTGATGGGGTTTAGGTGTGACACGGGTGGCAGATATTGGGGCTTACACAGGGTTTCCATGCCCAGCAAGTCGACATTCACTGAGGGATGCTGAAAATCTCACTGCCGTACGGCAGGGTGCCCAGTGGGGGCCGGGTGACCTGGCTGGGAACTGCATCTCTTTTTTGGAGTAACACGATGGGCATTGAACAAGACTGATTGAGCTGGCGCAGTTGCACGCCAACACCGTCTGATGGCCAGCTGTCCTTTGGGGATAAGGACTTCAGCGAGCTGAAAGCATAACACAGTTCCACATACAACCAGCTAAATGAGATGCTTTCCAAGACAAATCATAATTTTACAACATGTGAGATGCAGTCGTCTTCCAGCAATCAACAGATCCTGTCGCAGAGCAAGGCAGGGTGGGGGGGGAGTTACCGCCTTGCATTTCTGAACTACCTTCCCATGCTTCATGCAGCCACCTCTCTACACTTGACACAGAAAAAAAAGTGTCCAGGAGCACCACGTGATGGCCCTGGTTCCCGGCTGGGCAGCCAGGCCGAGGGCAGCCACCACAGAGCCAGGCAGCGTGGAAGTCGCCCAGTGCTAGAGGGCAGAAAGTAACAACGTGCTGAACTGGTTTGGGGATATTTATTTTTCTTTGGTAATGTGGAGAAGGAAAATTGCTTGTACTAAAAAAAAAAAAAAAAAAGGCAACCGCTTCTCGTGTCACTGTCAAGTTCAGTGCTAAATGCTCATGTAGATAAAAGTTGCACGATCAAGCCTCTGATGAGCAAAATTAAATCAAGTTTATTGAAACATGACATCTTTGTGGGGTTAACTGCAAAGCAAAGCCAAGCCCCTCCATGTGAAACCTCACCTGCTAGATGCAAACCCTCACCTGCCAGGCAGAGCACACTTACCCTGATCCCACAAGCCTTCCCACGGGGAGTTTATGGCCAAAGGGAGAGCATGTACCGGTCCTGTCCCAACTATTTATGTCAAAATACACACCCCGTTGATAAACAGCTGCGTTACTGCAACAGCTGCCGTAGCAGCAGATGGAGACCTGCCCGGCGCGAGGCAGCAGGCCCGGCGTGACGGGCACGTACCCACAGTCCCCAGAAAGCCACCTCGGAGCCACACAGCGCTCCGCAGGGCACAGCCTCACGCCAGCAGTGACATCTGAGTGCTGGGCTGGAAAAGGCAGCGGCTGGGCTGAGTCCTGCCGAAGCTTCATAAATCTAGCTGGGTCTCCTGGCACAAAAAAAAAAAAATATCTTAAAATAGACTTTTTAAAAGGGTTGGGGGGGTTGTGTTCTTTTGTAATTCGGTCAGTGGAGCAGCTGGGGGTGAAGCCAGGGTTTTAAAAATTCTAGAGTAACTAGAAAACTTAGGCATTTCACATATTATTTCAAATGAAAATATTTTTATTTTTCTGATAGTTGCCAATTTAATAGTGGGAGTTTACTGGATGCAAGGGAGGGAAGGGGGGGGGTGAGTGTGTGAATGCATAATTACTTGCCATAAATTTTTAAAGCGGCTCACATCCACGCAGACAGCGTGAAGTGGCTAAAGGTACCTTAGAGACCCCCTCGCCCCGGAG